TATTTGTTTCAAAACAGTAGCATCTATTCTAGAATAGAAGGAGATAACACGGTTTTTTAGTGTTTTTCTTTTTCATTTTTCAAATAATTACTTTGTTAAACAATAAAAACAAAAAAATTCCTTATATTGTCCCAACCAACAGATAATCGTGATCAACTTCTCTGGAGATTCGTAAAAATAAAATAAAAAATATTGTTAGAAAAAGAAAATCTATTGTCATAGTTATTCAGGAGATTACTTGTCTACGACGAGGTCCACAGTAACTCCCAAGACAACTAGAGTCTAGAGTGATCTAGTGAATCTATAAAGCCGCCAAATCGTTTAATCTTTCCTTTTAAACAATTTTTTATTTTACGTTTGCGTTACGAATCATCATCTTTTGCCTCTATCTCAACGCAATCACCCTACACGTGTTTCTCTGCTTTCCCGTTTAATTTTCTCAGTCTCGCCGTGAAATTTGTTCTTCTCTTCTTTTCCGGGCGAATCAAAATCCTTCTCTTTTCCAATCGCGTCTCCGTCGGTATTTTACGTGAACGTTTAGCGGAATCTGGGGTTTAGCTTGCATTTGATCTTCATCTGTGTCGTCATTCTCTCGGATTTTGTTTGTTCGCTGCTGCAAATCAGCGAAATCTATTCCTGGAAGTGAGAAGATCGCTTAGAAGCGTTTCAGGTTTGCCACGCGGATTCATTATCTTTTCGTTCTGTTTTGGTTAAGGTTGTATTTAATTGCTATGAAAAAACTATAGTGGTGATTAAGTTCGACCTAATTTTGATTAGCATGCTCTGATAAGCTGAGAAAACTGGGTTAATGATGTTTGTATTCATAAATATGTACTAAACAGTTTCAGATTTGGTTTCATCTCGCCTTCACTGATCTCTCTACAAGCAGATTATTTTTCTGTTCTCAGTAATTATTGACGCTGACTGAGTTGTTTTTTTTTTGAAAAGGAAATCTATTGGGCTTGTTTTGCTGATTCTGAGAATTTTGTTTGGTGTAACACAGGGAGTTGTTGGAATGGAGGGTCCGGAAAGATGAGGGATTTTTAATACGCAGTTATTCTTTGACGCCTTAATAGTTTGCTGTCTTACACGTCTTTGGTAAAGATACTCGAAGAAAAAAGGAAAAGGAAGGTAGTTCAAGAAGATGACAATGTTCGCCTCTTTAACGTCTAAAATGTTATCGTTGTCAACTTCTGACCACGCCTCTGTGGTTTCACTCAATCTCTTTGTTGCCCTTCTATGTGCTTGTATCGTGATTGGGCATCTTCTGGAGGAGAATCGATGGATGAACGAATCTATCACAGCTTTATTGATTGTAAGTTCACTCCAACCATCCCTTCTTTTGGGTTGAATGCTAACTAAAGATATTACTGTAGGAGGTCTTACGGATAAGTTTTTACATTCTGGAATTTTACGCAATTTGGTTGCAGGGGCTTTGCACTGGTGTCGTCATTTTGTTGATTAGTAGAGGGAAAAACTCACATCTGTTGGTCTTCAGTGAAGATCTTTTCTTTATATACCTTTTGCCACCCATAATATTCAACGCAGGGTAAGTTTCTACATCCAGACTGATCATTTGCTTCTTCATTTTGATGATAGTTGCATATTTTTGGTCTTTCTCTATTTGATAGATCTTTTTTCGAGTAATAGATTGGTTGTGTACTACAGAGTAGGAAAAAATCCGTTTATTTTCAGAGATGTTACTGGAAAAATGTTATATTACATTAGTTTTTAAACATATGAATTATTGTGAATTCTATGAATATGCTTTCAAATATCAGCTTGGAAGTACTTGTGATTGTGACTTGAATAGGACGTGGGTATAATGTTTATGGTCAATTTTAGTTTTGATTTATCTACCGGTGGTCCTGCTATTTCTTTGTCGTATAGTTCAGCTCTCTTTGTTTCACACTATGTTTTACAGATCTTTCCTGACCCATAATTATTCGTTTGTCGTTGTATTTAGATTTCAAGTAAAAAAGAAGCAATTTTTCCGAAACTTTGTAACTATCATGGCTTTTGGCGCCATCGGGACCATAGTTTCTTGCACCATAATATCTCTCGGTATCTTACTCCCCTCTCCCTGTAATTGAATATGTTGAAAGCTTATTCCGGAGTAGTAATTGTGAACATTAATATTCTTGTGATGTTTGAAACAGGTGCAATTCAGTTCTTTAAGAAATTAGACATTGGGACCTTTGACTTGGGCGATTTTCTTGGTAATGTGTTAGCGCGTTTTCTTTTATCGATTTTTTTTTCTAGACGACTTGATTTATCTTGTCGTTTATTTATCAGCAATCGGCGCCATATTTGCTGCAACCGACTCTGTATGCACCCTGCAGGTAAAGTGATTCGCCAATTAGCAGAAGTACCTACAGGCCCAGAATCGAAGTGTAATTAACAAAAACTCTTGTACCTTTGGTGATACAGGTTCTCAATCAAGATGAGACACCTTTGCTTTACAGTCTTGTCTTTGGAGAGGGCGTTGTGAATGATGCCACATCTGTTGTGCTCTTCAATGCAATTCAGAGCTTTGACCTCACCCACCTCAACCATGAAGCAGCTTTTCAATTTCTTGGGAACTTCTTCTATCTGTTTCTCTTGAGCACCGTACTTGGTGTTGCAGTAAGTCCATTTTCTTCTCTATACTGCTCTTTCTTCTGGCTACTACTTACACGCTCTTCTATTAACTACAATCTCTTTGTTATTCATCTTGCAGACTGGTCTGATAAGTGCTTATGTCATCAAGAAGCTATATTTTGGAAGGTAGATAATTTGCTTTAGCTTCATATGTGACTTTATTTCTATAAGCCTGTTCTGTTATGTAGTCTAAACTGGATATTTTTCTTAGGCACTCGACTGATCGAGAAGTTGCCCTCATGATGCTTATGGCATATCTTTCATACATGCTTGCTGAGGTTAGTTTTGTGAAATTTTATACCACTTTCATAATTTAGGCATGAAGACATTCAGTTGTATCTTAAGAATCCTTTATTGATGATATATTGTTTGGGTTGCAGCTATTCGCCTTGAGTGGTATTCTAACTGTATTTTTCTGTGGGATTGTGATGTCCCATTACACTTGGCACAATGTAACCGAGAGCTCAAGAATTACTACCAAGTAATATAATCTACATTTCTCTTGAAAACAAACACGGTTTCAAACGTTTTCCATCTTCAATACTTACTCACTTTCTATACATTTATGATGATACAGGCATGCCTTTGCTACTTTGTCGTTTCTTGCTGAAACTTTTATTTTCCTCTACGTTGGAATGGATGCATTGGACATAGAGAAATGGAGATTCGTGAGTGACAGGTATAGTCACTCAGTAGAAACATAAACTCTCTTTTGTTCATTGGCTATATACATAATCTTCTTATGTTTCTATTGTTTGGTTTTGGACAGTCCGGGGACATCAGTTGCAGTGAGCTCAATTCTAATGGGTCTAGTCATGCTTGGAAGAGCAGCTTTTGTCTTTCCTCTTTCCTTCTTATCAAACTTAGCCAAGAAGAATCAGAGCGAGAAAATTAACATCAAGCAGCAAGTAGGAACAATCTACTTTGTCTGTTGAATTTAAATTTTCTGAGGATTGTTGATGCTTACTAATCTTCTCTCACTTTTTCTATAGGTTGTGATCTGGTGGGCTGGTCTAATGAGAGGTGCTGTATCTATGGCTCTTGCCTACAATAAGGTAAATTGAAAGCTTAATGCATAGTAAACAGCGAGATGGTGATTGGTGAAAATCTAACAGATCTTTTAACTTCTTTAATTTTATCTGTGCTCTCTTATGCAGTTTACAAGATCAGGGCACACAGAATTGCGCGGGAATGCAATCATGATTACCAGTACTATAACCGTCTGTCTTTTTAGCACCATGGTAAGATGTTTCCCTCTCAGGTTTGGAATACTAAATGTATTTTCTCTATAGAGATGTTGTCAATGTGGATAAACCAATCCTGAGCCATAAGACGGATTTGCCTTTTTTTTTTATATCCGGAAAACTGAAACCAGTCCCCCCACCCCTATTTGATTTGTATTCCAATATATTTGTCAGGATCGCTAACATTGAACCCTGTTTCGGTTTATCTGATACCGGACATTTAACATATATATATTTATTTCCGCGGCTTTCAGGTGTTTGGTATGCTGACCAAACCGCTGATAAGATACCTAATGCCACATCAAAAAGCGACCACGAGTATGTTATCCGACGATAACACTCCGAAATCAATCCACATTCCGCTCCTCGATGGCGAACAGCTAGATTCATTTGAGTTACCTGGGAGCCACCAGGACGTGCCACGACCAAATAGCCTTAGAGGTTTCCTCATGCGCCCCACACGCACTGTCCACCATTACTGGAGACAGTTTGATGATGCCTTCATGCGTCCTGTGTTTGGTGGTCGCGGTTTCGTTCCGTTTGTCCCTGGTTCTCCGACTGAGAGAAGCACCCATGATCTCAGTAAACCTTAGGAGAAAGATTATAGAAACTTTTCAGAAAACCAAAAAAAACTTGTTCTTGTTCAGTTCTTCTTCCCTCGTATGGTCACTAGTACTGGTGATGTAAAGGTATTTTTGGTTCTTCAAATTTATACATTCTTTTGTGTAAATCTTGATATTCGATGATGAAGAAGCTTCTTACCTTATGAGAGACGTGTGGGGTTCATGTGTATTTAGTCTTTGTTTTGTCTAACGAAACTACAATTGCTGTTTAAGTTTTTGACTCTATGGCTCATGGGACATGGGGTCTGTTGTTGTTGGTCAGAACTTGACTAACTCTTAGGATCTGACTGGCATGGTTTGGTACGGTTTGGTTCGATTTCGGCAACAGAATAAAAAAAAGTGATCAATAGAAAAATCCGGTTAAATTGGCACATGATATACCAAATGGGCTGAGTCAGTCATTGAGGAGGCCCATGCGATTGTATGGAACGACGTCGGAAAAGGTGTAGGAGAGAGCTTATAAATGAAAGCAGCAAGCAGAGCAGTTCACGCTCTTTGTACACTCCGCCCTCTCTCCCCATCTCTTTCGACAGATCTCTCTCTCTCTCTTTCTCTCGTATTTCACGAAACAATGGCGACTCAATTCAGCGCTTCTGTCTCCATGCAAACTTCTTGTCTGGTAATCAAATCTTCTTTTTCCATTTTAACAATTGATTTTATCCTTAGAGAGATCGCTTTGATCTTACGATCTAAGATCATTTCCCTCTGATTCCGATGCCTTGTGTTGTTGCCTTATTAAAACTCTTGACGCATGCTAATTATGTGGAACATAGAAGATCTTCCCTTAAGTAATGATCAGTTTTATATTTTCCTGATTATATCTCTAGTTTCAAATTTTGTGATCGGCAACATATGGATTTAAAACCCGTGGTTTTGTGGATTTTTGTCTTCTGCTTGTAATCTAGATCTACATTCAATTGAATTTATGATTGTGGAAGTGAATGCTTACTTTTGGTTGTGATTATTTGTGCATAGATATTCATTGGCTAAGAATTTGGTTTGAGTTATGAAAATTACAGAGAGCAAAGTTGATATGAATGCAATGTTTTGTGTTTGATGACACAAATAGGCAACAACAAGGATTAGTTTCCAAAAGCCAGCATTGATTTCCAACCATGGAAGGACTAATCTCTCCTTCAACCTGCGCCGTTCTATCCCATCTCGCCGCCTCTCTGTTTCTTGCGCGGTATGTCCATTGCATTTTTTTTCGAGTTTGTTAATCTCTATATATATATGGCTCTCAAAAGTTTTAAATGACATTACTTTGGTTTATAGGCAAAACAAGAGACGATAGAAAAAGTTTCTGAGATAGTGAAGAAGCAGCTATCACTTACACCGGATAAAAAAGTCGTTGCAGAAACCAAATTTGCTGACCTTGGAGCAGATTCTCTCGACACGGTATCCATTCACTCAAGTGGCAATTAACACAACTTCTTCTAAATTTAGTTGATACTGATCAACTGAGTGCTTTTCTTCAGGTTGAGATAGTGATGGGTTTAGAGGAAGAGTTTAACATCCAAATGGCCGAAGAGAAAGCTCAGAAGATTGCCACAGTGGAGCAAGCTGCTGAACTCATCGAAGAGCTCATCAAGGAGAAGAAGTAATTTAGCCCCAAAATAAACTTCAAAAGAAGACGACAAAAAAAAAAAAAAAAAACAGGGCGTTGAGTTTGTTTTCATTATGTTTGATCTCTTTTATGTGTCTAGCGAGTCTGTCTTTGTCCCAATGGTTTAGTATCTGCATTATGTATCCACGGATTTCTATTTGTCACCTTAAACTTTTGGTGCCCCAACGAATATCATTTACAATAAATCTTTCTTATTTTCTTTCCAAGACCGAAATGCATACGAGAGACACAAGTATGTTACATCATAATATACAGGGTGTCTCTATAGTCTTAGTAACTAACACACAAGTCAAGAAGAGTATGCCCTACAAGGAAGTGACAGTAGTTGCTTTTTTAGATTTATCCTATTCACCTTGTATCTACAGAATGATAAGACTACATGGTTCTTATTATTCCCAATCGGCGTCGAAGAATCCAGCATCTTTCATCTCTGAATAGTAGACATTCTCCAAGTTCAGATCTTCCTCCTGCAGCAAATACAGAATTTTAGCACCAATTGATCATCCCAACTACAACACGCCTAAGGAGTTTTGGTGATGGTGATGATGCAGATGGTACTACGGTGATGATGATGGTACTATGGTAATTGTGATTGTGATGGTGCTATAGTGATAAAGAAGGTGATGGTGATGTGCTATAGTGATGAAAGTGGTGATTTATTGCATGTTTGTGGGTACATAGATATTTATGTAGAGAGAGAGAGAGAGAGACATGTTAATATGAGGGATTTACCTGGAAAAAGTCTGCAAGAAAAGTAACATACAAAAGAGGAAGATAGAAGGCGTGGTAACAAACACTTGTGACCCCATACAACCTGCAAGCATTTGCAATTTTTATTTTCTAATGTTAGAAGCAAGCGAAAAATCTGACTACGCAACTTTACTCTTTTGATTGTGAGGCTTTTGTTTAAAGGGCTTACCATAATCCAAAATGAGCACCGTTTGCCGTAAGAGCACATGCAAATAGGGAGAGCCCATTTAAGGCGAGCATTACAGTTATGTACTTGTAGAATGCAGGTCTTGCTGTCAAAACGGAAATCAAAAACATATGGGATGAGTAATAGAAGCCAGTGAATAGCTATTGGCTTATGCAACCGTAAGGAGGATGGGAGTGGTAGATGTATTTACCAGGTAATCTCTCTCTCCATTTGGAGTTGTACATGAAGAATATCATACCATAAATGCCAGCTAGTAAGAGCTTGTGGATGACCCATAAGCCCCATTTGAACTTTTGTATATGTTCATTGTTGTCGATAAACAATGGTACTCCAAATCCAAAGAGATAAATTGCCTGCAAGGAAGAATGAAAACCTTGAAGAAAAAAAAAAACTGAGGGTAGTTGAGTAACCAAACAACAAAAGTTTGCATATATCAACTGTAGTGGAGACATGATCTAAATCTTTTGCAGAACTAAGAACAGGCATACATCATGTCAATATACCTCAACGAAGTATTTTCTATCTATCTTTCAGAAAGTATATCTAAGAGTTATGAACACAAGAGTACCTTGAGAAGCAAATCGAGACCTATAACAAGCCCTGAGATGAGGAAAGTTCGTGTTAATGCTTCAGCACCGCTTGCATAGTTTCCTTGGAAGAGAAAGGCTACCAAGCTTACTTCTAGAAACAACATTCCAGATGTTGTGAACAAAGTTAATAGATTCCAAATAACTTCTTTCCCAGGAGTGCATTCCCATGCCTAAACACACGAAAAGTAAATTCAACACGCAATCTGAAGTAAGACTAAATCAGGTAAAACATTTCCTCTTAGGAAACATCTAAACAAGAAATCAACAATCACAGCTTACGAAAAATACAGAAGAAATGCAAAGTTAATACAATTACTGAGCCTAAAACACTCTAAAAAGCATTCTTCTTCAATCTAAGTTGTGATGTTTTTACACGCAACATAGTCCTAGTAATGATATACTTGGGAAATGAATCCAAAAAAACAAGACTTGACGAACCTGAAGACAACACCAAGCAAGATTGAGCAAGCTAACAAGCCAAAGAAAACCATAATAGGCGATCATAATATAAGATCTCCGATTCGACAACTTGGACAAGCTCTTCTTCGCCTCGTACGCTAAGTAAGCGACGAATAGAATAGATGCTAAAACCAAAACCGTGTTATGAAGAAACCCATGACACTTTCCGACCCATCCGCCGATAAACCCTCCGGTGGCCGTCGAATTAGGGCTCAGCCGAGAAAGCAAGAAAGGTGACTCCGCAATCTCGCCGAGAACTCGCATTTCATCAAATTGTACGAATCAGAAACCAAGTAGAGTTAGTCCAAGGAGTGGAAAGCAATCCCTAATTCCAGAAAAGGACCTCGATTTCGAGATTTGATGTTTTTTGCGATACAGAATTCGTATGGATCGTATATTTCTTCTCTCTCTCTGGTGACCAAATCCATACACTAGGCAAACATACAAAAGTTAAAGGGTATTTTGGTAATTATAATACAATATCGGGGTGGAAACTATAAAATAAATAAATGAAGATACTATCGATAAATATAATAAATTGTTGGGGAGGAAAGTATAAATAATGAAGAAGAAGAAGAAGAAGAAAAGCCTTTTCTTAATCCGACCGTTGAAAGGCACTCGCCATTTCTGGCTAAACGACCGGATCGGTTTGAGAGAAATATTCGCTGCCATAAATGGCGATTTTATTCTTCGATTTTGAAACATTCTTTGAGATTTCTGTTGAATCTAGTTTCTTAGGGTTCTGTTTGATTCACGCGTTTAAGCTTTTTCGATTTTTCTAGATTTCACTTTGCTGTGATTTCCAAAATTTCGACATGGGTTTTTCGTAAGAGAGATAAATTTGGTAACTTTTTTTATTTTAATTCGATGTTGAATTTTTTAGTTTCAATCAACCGCCATTGATGTGAATGTGAGATGATCATCAATTTTTGTAGTTGACGATGAGAAACACGAGACCTGTTCATGTTAGGAATAAGAGTACGGAACCAGGAACACCCTCTTCGCCTATGATGACGTCTCCTCTAATGCATCGGCATACACGTTCAGGATCAAATGCTGGCCCAGCTTCCAATGCTAAGAGAGCTCAGACAAAAGCAGCTGCTCAGAGACTTGCGGCTGTGATGTCAAATCAAACAGGAGACGAAGAAGATAGTGATGAAGACCTTTCCTTTGACTATAATGCTTCAGGTACAGGGAGCATTGGACTCGCTTCCGGAAGATCTCATCCTTCTCGCTCGCCAGTGGTAATTGAAACTATAAAGACTCACTTTTTCAAGGGTTTTGTAATGTAGGGATTTTATGTGATACTGTTTTCTGGGATGACAGATTAGGAACCCTATGGCAAGGCGTCCACAGATGGCAACTCCACAGTTAGCTGATGAGGACAATGAAGATGATGATTTTTCAGTGGATGTATCGAGCAGCAGACCAAGTATTGGACTTCCTGGTGGAAGAGCTATGAGACCTCAGTCTCCTGTGATGGTGAGTCTAGTTTAAGTTCTTTTACCTGAAAAATGTAACTTGGTTTCAGCTTTCATAGGCTAATACCCTTTTGGTGCAGACTAAGATTGCACCTCCGAGACGTACACAACCAGCAAATGAAGGAAATAAGAATGACGGTGATGATGATGATGTTGTTTCAGTAGATTATGCAATTGGTAGACCAAGTATTGGGCTTGGAAGTGGGAAGGCAATGCGGCCACAGTCTTCTATGGTATTGATCGATTCTTGAAACTTTCTGTTTGTACGTTTTTCTATTTTCATGTCATGTCTTTTCTCAGAATTTGAACTTAATTTAACGTTTAGATGAAAATATTTGCAAATTGCAGAACAAAACCCAACCACAAGGGCGTCCCGTGATGGCAGCTCATCAGCCAGTGGATGAGGATAACGAAGATGATGAGACTCCATATGTTTATACAAGCGGCATTCCAAGTGTAGGACTTCCTGGTGGAAGGGGAGCTCGGTCACGTTCTCCTCTGGTAATTAGTTTGTTAAACAACAATCCATTTGAAACTTGTACCACGCCTTCTATCATAATTCATAAACATAAACTCGCACTTTGTGTACTACAGACTAAAAATCCTCCATTGAGGCATCCACAAGCAGTAGCTCAGCCACCAGCCAATAAAGACAGTGATGCTGATTATGATGAGTCGTATACTAGTGGAATGCCAAGCATTGGACTTGCGGGTGGACGATCAATGAGACCTCGCACTCCTTTGGTAAATTTAGTTTGTAGCTATTCTGGTTTTCCTGCTCTCTCGTAGTGGTACTTGCTTTTTTTAAACTTAGTCTCGATAGTGTACCCTCTAATGTGAATCATGAACTAGTACATGTTTAACTAAAATGATATTTTGCTAGATTTTCAGAAATCCGTCAATCAAGAACCAGTTTGATACTCTAATACATCATAGCACTATAACACTGTTTATTGGTGGTTTGAAGTTTGCAAAGGTTGCATTTGTATTTTTATCAGCATTATGGCATTAACCAGTAAAGAAAAGTATGTAGTTAATGTTTCTGACTATCTGCATCAGCATAAAATATATCACGCCTCAAAGTGTTTTGTTGCTTTGAAGTCTTCTAAAACTTCCTTTAATTTTCCATTAGTCAATTCGTACTAAGGAACAACCTCAGACCGGACTTCCAACTTCAGGTAGCCGATCCTCATTATGTGAGGATTCCACAGAATCTTCAGCTATTCCATCTCAGACAACAAACCAAGTGGAGCAATCTCCATCTGCTCGTTCTGCATTCTCTACCAAATCATCTCAGTCTCTCAGTGCTATGGATCAACCTCCATCAGCTCGTTCATCTTTCAGTGGTCGTCCAATAAGGACAGTTCCATTAATGCCATCTTCGGTGCCTATATCACTCAAACCAGTGACTCCTGCATTTCAATCTGATACGCCAACCAATCTTCGAAAAGATAAAAGGTAACTAACCGATAGCTTATCCGAATTTAAGTTATGGATGTGTTAAAGGATGCTCATTGAGCCCTCATTCTTCACATTCACCTACTTCATATATTTCCAGTGTGGCCTTAGTTCAGTGATTTCTGTCCATTAGCAGGTTTTCCATGGATATGGGAAGCTCAGGCAACTTAAGAGAGTTAGGGAGCCAACGTTCTACTTCAGCTTTGCAAGATGAGGTTTGACTTCTCTAGCTTGTGCCTTTTATTTTTGTAGATATCTTCGTTACAGCCTTCCCAACATTTCACACATTTTTATTTAAGACCTTTCGTTTTCATTTCAGGTTGATATGCTACAGGAAGAAAATGAAAGTTTGTTAGAAAAGGTGATGCCAGTAAATTTTCACAGTCGGTGTCAGTAGGCATTAGTTACTCAATTTCATTTGATGACATCTTTTCCTGAAAAACATTCTCTTGATTTGGTACAATGCAACAAGCATTAAATACACTGGCAAATTTGAAACTCTTCATCTCAACAAGCTTATCTAAATTTCATTGTGGTTGTTGTGTCTGCTAGTCTCAGGGGAAACCCATATCTTATGTGTAGAAATCTACCAGATTCTTTGTAAAGTTGAATAATCCTTGTACAATTTATTATGGTATATATGCATCCCATCCTAATTTGTGCATCCCCAGCTTCGACTTGCAGAAGATAAGTGTGAAGAAGCAGATGCAAGAGCTAAGCAACTTGAGAAACAGGTAAACAGGTCGTTCTTACGTACAGTTTATAGTGTTTCATTGCCTCGAGCTTTAACACTTCTGCAAACTCAAAGCCGAATTTTGTTAGGTTGAAATCCTTGGAGAAGGTGTTACTATGGACGCACGTCTTTTAAGCAGGTAAGCTTCAGTTCTATTTAAATTTTAGATGACCTTTGAAAATTTTCTAATTTTGTGAATGTATTTCTTGCTTCAGAAAAGAGGCAGCTCTACAACAGAGAGAGGTCAGTGTCTAATGGTCTCATAAATTATTTTTGGATGATAAAGTTCCAATATTTATGTATCATCATGAGGCTTTATGATTCTAGTTTAGATCCTGACCTATGAAAAGGTAGCATAATCCACAGAACCAATTTCTTTTCAGGCTGCTTTGAGAGTTGCATCACAAAATCATGGAGGAAGGAGGGAAGATGTTTCGGCTCTTCACACAGAAGCTGAGGTACTTCAAGTTTTGGTATTTTGTTGTTCTAATTTGCATCTGTTCTAACATTTTAGATCTTGGATTGGATTTAGATTGCTAGGGAGGAGGCAGCATCTTCATTAGAGCAGCTTCATGAAGTTGAATTAGAGCTTAACTCTCTTAAGACCGTGACCAAGAGATTGGTATTGACTCAGGAGGAGATGGTATGCTAGTATTGTTAAAAGTTCATACTTTTCGTTTCTATCTAGTGTTTTTTAAAGTCGATAGCTTCTCATCTGTAGCTCTTAATCTTAGGAAGAGGTTGTTCTGAAGAGGTGCTGGCTTTCACGTTATTGGGGCTTATGTGTTAGACATGGTAATGGTAGTACCTTGCTTTCTTACACAATATAATCTATAAATTTATAACCGAATTAGATCGAACGACGCAAAATAGAACTTTAGATTGATTTTATTGCTTCTCTGAATATTGTACATAATGAGCTAAATTTTGGTGAAACGTTGTGGCAGGCATTCAAGCGGACATTGCAGGAGCAAAGCACGAATACTGGTCATCATTTGCACCTCTTCCTCTAGAGATTGTTCTGTCTGCAGGACAAAGAGCAAGGGACGGAGTTTCACAATGTAATATTTCCATCTTGCTGCAGAAATTTAACTGGAAATGTTTCGAATTATTCTGACCTCACTTGTTCTTACCCTCTGGTATCCGCACCAAGCAGCTAATAACACTTACGGCGAAAGAGAAAAATCATTGCAAAACTTGCACGAAACTTCTGGAGAAGGAAATCTCGAAAACATGATATGGGTCGAGAAAGGTTTGCGGGAGCTGGCTTCACTAAAGGTGAAAAATCTTAACATGAGAACTCTTCTTGTCGACTATATCCTTTATAAGAAGCAGATTTCTGTTGTTAGATGATTATTCAAGAGAAAGATTTGAAGTATTATTCTTTGCTCTGTCTATAGGTTCAGGAGGCAGTTGCGTTTGTCATGGCTCAAAATAGACGGAACACATCATCAAAGTTTTTTGTTTCAGGTGATAACCAAAGATGTAAGCTTAAAACATGCTTAAATTTGAATATTTTCGTAATTCATGTTTTCTTTTCTTGAACAATTCATAGACGAAGTGAAAATGCCAATGGATGGACAATTTGAAGCCTTTGGTAAGTCAATCATTTGTACACTATGATCTGTTCTCATTATCACGCCAAGCACTGATGTGATCAGACCCTACGTAAGGTCATTCAAAATATGATAAGCCCCTGAAATTCTGCTCTCAAACATTCTTTGCATTT